CACTTAATTGCATAATTATTGATTCTTAGGAAATGGTTCCATAACGAGTTCTTTCTGCGACAGTCTCGTGTCAGGCGTTCAGTCGTAATAACTGTGCTCCTTGATGTAGGATGACGCTCCTGGCACGTCGGTGTTCAGTTTGGTCGAGTAGCAGCTTTGACCGACAGATGCCGTCTTGTAATCATACGTCATGTGCGGCCACTGATATTTGATGCACTGAAGCTGCAGAGCTGGCTTCTAATCCGCAAATTTTCCTGGTAGTTCTCTGTGTCAATGCAGCAAGCTCGGGCATGTAGTGCTTACGTGGCTGCGCCTTTTGCTGTAGTGTTGACTTGATGGCTGGCAACAGGCAACAGTGTTTGTTTGCTATCCAAGCCATTTCACTTCCATTTCGTAATGGCGATTTTTTCTGCATCCCGCGACCACTGCGACTTGACTAAGTCCCCTGTGGCAAAGTGAAGTCGGGTGATGCTTGGTGTCCACTTTTGAGAACAACCAACCATTCCATTTCTTCAAGTCACTCAGCGGCATTCTCCGTCAAAGTTGGAAATTGTGTGCTTCATTGCATGGACACAGATAATGGGTGTCAGCAAATTATTAGGTATTGTCCTTGGACGGCAACCAACACCAAATCAATTGTCCTTGCATTGCTGCTCACCTGCTTTATCGTGCTTACCTCCCGTCGGGGTGACGGGGATCAGGAGCTTCGGGGTAATGTCAGCACCAGGGGCAAAGGCCGCCGAAGATAATCCCCAACGTCCCGCAGACGCTCCTCGAGACGTGGTCGAAGGTCGTTCGGCACAAAGTCTTGCAGGCCTATTCACTGGTACGGGTACCTCCAGTAGACATGGTCGCCCTCATGCAGTGGTAGCAAAGCGGTTTTCGGTCGACCATTCGCAGCACCTCCGTTTTCTTCGGTGTACTTTGTTCAGCGAGAACCTACACTGGTTCTTTCCGATGTCGGGAATGCTTCGGCGTTGGGGTGTCTCGTTGAATTGGCATTGAATACTAACGGGTAGCCGGTGGTGGAAGTCGTGACTTTGTGGCATAAGTCGCCCTCGGTTCGTCAGATGCCGCTTTGCTCGAAGAAGTCTTTAGTTGAAATGCCTGTCGAACTTGTTCCGAAACAATCACGGCAATCAAAATAAAATCTGGGCAACTGATGGCAGAAAGTAGCTTCCTGATCTCCACCCGGACAACAATGTGGATGATGTTGCGGATGCCTGGGAGTCTGGCGTCGAAGTTGCAGCTGGATGACTCGAGTGTCGAGACGCTCGGGAGTTGTTAATAGTGACAGGCTCGGGCCTGCAGTGTACATTCAATGTTGGAAGCCTGGGTGATATGAACCCTTCGACTGTTATCGTGGGGTTGCGGACAAGGCTGCCGAAGGTGCTGTCCCTCACATGAGGGACATGGGATTCTTAGCTTCTCGTCTTCGGTAGCACCAGGGTTGGCGTGGGTGCTCGATCAGGCACAAAACATCCTCCACGAAGGCAGTGACGCTCTTGTTGGGGCCGTGTCCTGGACAAAATCAGAAATTCGGCTCTCTCTCGTCAACGTTGGCTGATGAACGTGCACTTCAGCCTGATCTTGCAAACTTCCCATGACGTTGAGGAGGATTCGTGGTTCTCAAACCGGTGCCTGGCAGTTTCTTCCATGAGAAGTATAGGTTCTGCAGGAGCTGGTTGTCTGTTCACCCACTGTGGTGGGCAACACGGTCATATTGTTCAATCCAGCCCTCGACGTCTTCATATACAATGCGTGAAAGGGCGTCAGAGTGTGAGGTGCGACGGGCATACAAACAATGGTGGGAGTGGACGCGGTTCGCTGCTACAGGTTTGTCATTGTTGGCTTAGTCAGCTTCGGTTTTTCTGGCGAAAGACCGAATTCCGGTGGTTCCTGCTGGTAGCAGCGACCGACTCGGATTTCAGGTTCTTCGTGGTGTATTTTCGAGGTTCGTTCTTGTGGTACTTGCTCGTCTTGCGGTCTTTCTGCTGGGCTCGGGATAGGACTTGGTTCACGGCTCGCCGGGGGTTTAAGACGCGGGATAGTCCGCCACCCTTGTCCCGTTATTGGGTAACTCGGCTGAGGAGCCGCCAAGGTGCACACTGAGTGAAGGCTATGGGTATAGTACCCAGCACCTCCACCGGGACGTATACGATGACAGTTGAGCATGGTCTGGAACTTTCGATAATAGTAAATATTAATAAAAGATAGGACTAGAGCAAGCATCAGTGACAATATAACAAAAGTGACAGAAGAGAGACTACCCTGACCACTAAAGAAGCTGCATTGCTTTAGTGGCATTCTGTCCGAATAAATTTTCTCCCTCGGGGTTCGGCAACTGCCGTGGGCGAACTGAACTGAAATGGATGTGGGAGCACTTTTCTGGTCATGAGCCGCTGCAGACTGTCGTCGGAAAGCGGCGTGAGCGGGTGGACTGGGTAGGTAACACGCGCAATGAAATGTCCATAATGCTTGCAATTCGCGTAACGAGTGATGATGAAACTTTTGTGTCGACGAAGCGTGCGACAGACCAGCGGAATCAATACCAACTGCAACACCTGTGCTCCATGAAAGTGCACGTCTACGCCGGAACAATTTGGGAAGCAGCACAGCATCACCTAAAGCATGGCACAGTAACTACCAGCTTGAAGGCAGCTCTTCGGTGCGCCGCACACCTGTGCTCCGTGAAAGTGCCCGTCTACGCCGGAACAATTTGGGAAGCAACACAGCATCATTTAACACGGCACGGGAACTACCAGCTTCAAGGCAGCTTTCCGGTGCGCCGCACAACCAAATTGAGCCTTCGGTCATTTGAACGAAGCTGCACCACGATTGCACACTGCCAAGCACGACTCACGCAATTTCCGTCGCTAACTGTGTATCCAGATATATGGCACACGCTTCACTGCAGACCTTGAAGATTCCGATGGTCAACGAGAGCACAGAAACGTAGCCTTAAATTTTATCCTAGCGGTATCCGAATCAATCCGAGGTCCGAGCAACGTAGGGCAGATTGTCTCTCCTGTGGCAATATCCCCGTCGGTCACCAGCGAAATGCACACCGTTCCTCCTTATTTTCACGTTATACCTACGTCAGACACCACGCTGAACTCTGAAGTCGCTTTCGACCGGCCTCATATGACGGTTTCCGCGTCTGAAATCAACTCGCCGAGACGAACGACAATCAACAAAGCATTCAACAAGCTCCGGCCCAGCTGGGGCCAGCCGATGCATGGGCGCTGCCATCTTTCCTGTGACGTCACGTATTTGGTTTGGTCATGGGACGAGTGATCAAATTTGCGTACAATGGCAGCCACCTTATGGGGGTCACTTTCGAGTGCAGACCGGAACCCCGGTTTATCGCTCTAAGCCCCTCTACCTCGTTGCACCGCTGCTGCAATGCATGGAAGGAACTCGTGCCACTAAGTACGCTTCGCTTCAGAGTAACGACACTTGGCCATATTGTTTCTTAAAACCATGGTTGCCAATTATTTGAAGCTTTATCTGAAATCTCAGAAAACGCTTTTCCGCCCTCCACGAATGTTTAAACAGTTCGCGAAAGAGCAAAGCAAATATTACGTGAGCTTCCTAACACCGAATCTAATGTTGAGGAAGTCGCACTTTTGAATCATGACGATCGGCAGTTGCGTCATCTCTGCATACGAACCAAAATGGCTGCGCCCACAACAATGTAGCAATGTAGGGGAACGGAGTGTCGACACTTTAAGCGCAGCTCATTTAGAGGCTCTCGGGGGAACTTTAGTCTTTTTGCACGTGCGACGACCTCGCTGGACCTCTGCGGATGTAGAGCACGATACGACACGAGCGCTCGCATGCACAACCGTCTGTCCCCTATGAACTAAAGTTAGGAGGGAGTAAGGCATGCGCCGAACGCTTTGTGAGATCGGTCTATTCGAGTTGCAGGCATGCCTCACAGCGCCGACGCGCAAAACCACTACTCCGGAGCGATACACAGCCAGTCTTTGAACAAGCGCATGCACACTTGCAAATCTTAGGGCGGCCGCATTCGGCAACATATTGCGTCCCGGTGGTCTTGCGTATGTCGACTTACCCAAACGCACCAGCGTTCCCTGTGAAGCGCAACAAGCAGTAATACGTTACACAGTTGCACCATCCTAAGCAGGCATGCATGTAACCAAATGACACGGGAGGTCAATGAAGCCGAACATATCGTTAGGCTCGAAGATTCAAGAAGTGTTAGTACAGTCCATCTTTTACCTTGTCGGAAGAAAAGTTAGTTTACCTGGCCAAAAGGAGATAACATACACCCTTTTTCAAAAGTGCGCGCCATCTTTCAACTGTTGCTCCAATTATTCGAGTCGGCTATTGTTTGGGCACGCACTCTCGACGTTTTACTGGACACGAGGGCCGCGTCAGCCATTCGGGGTGCGCTCGGAGACGGCTCTGATCCACTCATAACGCTTCGTGCCCCAAGGTCACGCTGAGGTCACGTGATACCCGCAAGACAGTTGATTGGCCCCGATGGCTCCGATTGGGCCCGCATTGGGTTCCAGGCAGTGTATCGGAGAATCGGGATTTTGAGTAAATCGTCCCGATATTAGGGAGTTTTAGGGAACCGTTTTTGCACATCCGATACGGTACGGTGGGTCTTCCGGTACGAACTGCGCCTGCGCCACTGCAGAAGACTCGCGCATGCGCAGTATGTACCGGAAGGCCCATCGTACCACATCTGATGTGCAAAAACAGTTCCCTAAAACTCCCCATTTCCGAAAACGAAACCCGATAACGATACGATGCACGCGCACAAAGGCGTCTGCGGAGTATACCGGGTAGCGTTATCGGAGTTATCGGAACGATCTATTAGAGAGTTTCCATGAATTCGATAGCGATACCCGATACTCCACCACCGCCTCCCTTGCGCATGCATAGTATCGTTATCGGGGCTATCGGAGGTATCGGAACGATCTACTAAAACTAATTATAAAAGAAGTTGAGGCCGTGACAGTCCGATGTACTTTTTCACTTCTTTTTTTTCTTTTCTCTTTATTTCACAATTAGTAAGACTTCTACACAGAGAACATCAACGTTCGAGCGAGCGAGCGAGAGAGAGAGTGAGGGGAAGAAAAAACGCAGGAAAGTGTACAGTTTGACACAATTTGTTTCCCCAAGCACACACAGACAAGATCTACAGAATAACAATAACAGGATCAGAGAAGAAATAAAATCTGTCGTTTTCGTGCGCCTCCGCTATGAATTAAAAACAATGCGTTTGCGCTTGGAAATAAAAAAAAAAAAAAAAAAAAAAAAACCAGACTGCAATAGGCAACTGCTCCAACGGCTACCGGTTTCTTTTTATGTACAAAGAGAGGGAGAGAAAAAAAGAAAAACAAGACATATGCAATACTGAAACCGACCACGAACATTAGTCAGAAACCGGAACCAACATACGTATATTTTATTTTCTCCATACATATAGCAGCAATGCACATGCGCACTCTTGTATGCGAGACATTCCCGCCAAACGGGCGTTCACGATGCCAATTTTTCAATCTGGCAACAATAAAAAAGAAACATGTGATCAGATTTTAACGTACGCTTCGAGGCATAACTAAAACCACGAGGGTCGGCAGAGGGGAAACTTATCGACAGAAGAGCGAACGCATCCATTTCAGTGTAATTTCTTTTTGCGCTCGTTTTAATTCTTGCGATGTTTTTTCTTCTTCTTTCTTTAGGTTACAACCTACCTCTCTCTTCTCATCTAAATAGAAAACAAAACAAATCAGGTTCAAGCGATGGATACACACACGAGTGCGAAGAAGAGCGCCGGTGCCGAGAATGAAACACTCAAACTAGTTTACAAATGGGTGGTTGATTGGAGAGACACGCTCGGAAAGGATACCCTGCAATAGACGTGCCAACAGGGAGATAAAAAACAATAAAAAAAATGTATTGGTCTAGTTCGGCTGTGTCTTTTTTTAACGCTTAACACGCAAAAAAAAAAAACTGTTAAAATACAATTAAAAAGAAACAAATAAAATTGCACGTTCACGTAAAGAAGGAACCTCCGAACCCTTCCACCAATATGGCACAAAGTCAACACAACTCTGACTTATTTTACGTCCGATTTCGAACAACGAAAACAACAAAAACCACCGTTCTGTGCTAAGACCGACTGCAGTACTCGATCATCGAGTACGATACAATAAATGGCAGTCAAAAACTCGGACCCAATTTGCATCATCAGGGTTTAACTATCTGCGTAATATATTGCAACGAATATGCTGAAGGGTTCGGGAGGCACACGTTTTTTTCTGTTTTTTTTTTGTTTTTGCGACACTTCTCCCTGTTGTCACGGTGACAAAGACTTGTCTTTTTTTTCATCATTATTTGTTTTTTCCGCGTGCCCATGTGTGTATGCGTGCGCACCATGTGCAAGTGTGTGTGTCTGTATGTACGTGGCGGACAAAAACAAAAAAACAAATGCAAAATTCTCGCGGCTGACACTGACAGGCTTTCGTACACAGAGTCGAGAAGAAAACTGCTGTGGGTGGTGTATGGAACGCCGAAAATTAACAATGTGCGAACAAGGCGGCAATGATATTCCACACATGGGGCGAGGAGCGGCCCGACACTCCGGAGGAAGATACATTTCGTAAAACAAAATAAAAACGAAACGTTGCGTGTGTGTTTTTTTGTTTTCTCGTTTCTTTCCACTTTTTTGTTTGTTTTTTTACAGTACGTACATGTATGCGCGCACATTCGCACATCTAAACACGACATGACAGGTCTCAGAAACACGCAAAAAAAAAGAACAATCGATGCCAGTTAAGCAATAGAACACGCACACACACACACACACATCTAGGGGAACGTTTGAGAATCGAAACGGCTGACAAATGCCTTTTACGATACCCAAAGTAAAACACGAAGAATAAAAATAACATTAACAGAAAAAAGATAGCGGCCCTGTAGGAAAGCAAGAAAAAAAAGAAGAAAAGATAACCACTGAATAATATTTTAAACTATTTATATTTATAATATTTATATATAACTAGAGATTTCTTTCGGTATCTCCGTTTTGTAGATGCTTTTTACATACGTATCTTTTGTTTGTTTTTCGCCTCTCTTCGCTTAAAGAAAAAGGGGCTTGGAAAAAGAGAGACGGCGAGACGACGCAAAAATACAAATCAAGTGAGAAAAATAAACTAGCAGAAAGAGTAGCCTATCCTAAGCAAAGAAAAAAACAGATAAAAGTGAGTGATTGCACATAAACTCACTTAGCCACCAGAAGTTTTTTTTTTAGCAGAGATCAGTAATTCATATCAAGCATAGAATAGGCGTCAAAGATATCGTTTGGTTGTGATGTACTTTCCAAAATAATCAGACAGACTCTTTTTCTTTTTCATGAAGCGGCGAGGAGAATAACATGCAAGGATTGCGAGATTTTACACTCGTTTCTTCCCTTAAAAACGACGGTTTTCAATGTCGAGGTTGGATAAAGGCTGAATTTCCTTCTTGGGAATACACTGACTCACTATGATAAAAAAAAAAAAAAAAGAGAGAGAACGCAAACGATGATGCATGTAACTTCCTATTTTTTTTTCCATTCATCACTAACTTTCCTCCTTTTCAACTTCAAAATAGGAACCAAAGTCCGCTCCCAAACCCTAAAATTAAAAAATTAAAAATAAAAAAAATCAGGACTGAGTTGTTTACACAGCCATACACGCAAAGAGGAAATACCAGTAATGAAAGAATCATGAGAGAAACACACCTCGACAAAAAGAAAGACGACACAAATTCACCGGTGAAAGCAAAAAGAAGTAACTGCATTTACAAAGTTTCGTAGTACGTACAAAGCGCCTTCAGCCGCTCCTTTATGAAAGTGAACATTCCTTTGCAAAAAAAAAAAAAAAAATAATAATGATAAAAAAAAGAAAGCGAAGAAGGAAAAAACAAACCAACTGTGGCGAACAACGATGTGTTTCTTTACGTATATCAAAAGAGTGTCGTTTGGTCTACAGACCCATCTCTGGAGGACGCTCTGTCCTACCGGCGACGCTGCGTGGTTCGTCTGTCTCCATTGCTCCGCGAGTCTGTCACGGCTCTCATTCGCTGTCTCAGGACACCGATCATCGATCACCCCTTGGTGCAGTTCAACTTCCTTTGCGTCGCCAACAACATCCATTAAAAACCCCTCCCGACAAAAAAAGAGAGAAAAAAAAAAGTATGTGGTTAGTTTAGGCGACTCGAGCAACGAGACACATTGAGGTGAGGACCGCGGCCATGATCCACAAGTTGGTTGACGCTCCCAAAACTATCCCTCATTTGTTTTTTGTTTTTTCGAGCGTCGCATGACGCGGCCGTGAAGGAAACCACCAGATAATGAACGGAAATGACGTCATAGTCGTTAAATCGGAGTCGCGCGATCCGGCGTTTTGTTTGGCGTCGTCAAGTCGTGGGTAGCAAATTTCGTACAGCAGAATGTCGGCCAAAGCGTCCGCTCTAAAACGCGGTAAGCGTGTGGGTAGGTTGACGTATTCGATGCATCGATTTAGTGATACTCGAATGACGAAAGGAATTTCTGCCGAGTTGCGTTTGATGTAAACCAAAGTAAAAAGAAGGAATAAAAAAAATACTCGTGCGGTGTGCAGTCGGGCAGACTCGATCTTTCGCAAATGCCTCGCGTAATTATTTCACTTTTAATCGCAAGAGAAGGTCCGGGAAGAACGAAGTGCGGAGGCGAGCCAGGATACATTTTTTTTTTTACCTTTAAACTTTAACCGTTGTCAAAATTCGGGTGGTTATCCAGCAAACCGTCGGCCGCCCACCGCATCGTTTCCGGAATCTGCCGCGCCGTGTCGCCACCTTCGGCCGGCAAGGCGAATGCCGGTGCCGATTGGGCTGCGCCACCAGTCGCGAGCTCCCGTGTCCGCGCGCGTCTTCGAAAACTCGCTCTCGCCCGACTGCACGCGCCGCCAACTGAGGTCGGAAGAGGAAAAGAAGAAGAGGAAGGGGGACAGTGACGATGGCAGCCACGGAGGAAGAGCCACGAGGCGCGGACGTCCCGCTTAGCTGGCGTGGATGTCCATGATGTGCTGTCCGTCGTAGGGCGAGCCCTGGGGCGGCAGGCCCGGATGACTCATGGGCGCCATCATCATGGCGTGGGGGTGTCCCGGCAGCAGCATCGCTTGCGGAGGAGACCGCAGCTGCGGCATCTGCGGGTAGCTGCCCATGGCTCCCATGTGGCCCATGCCCATCGACGTGTCACTGCACGACAGGTTCTGCATGCCTGCGTCACGGGTAGAGGGAACACCACGTGCCTTAGCAGGATGATCCCGACCGATTACGTCACCTGGCCAAACACACACCTGCTCGTGAAAGCAGGGGAGACCGATGGATAGCGAACCCCTTCGAAGCGATCCCCACCCCTGCCCGTTTCGATCTGGATGAGCATCATACCAGCGTGCAGTTGTGTATCGTCACTACTGCTTGGCGCACGTTAAAGACTCCGTAGCTAGCGCTTGGACTGCACAGGCTAAATGTGTCATCTACAGCTGAGAGACAAGTTTCCCATTGAGGCAGACTAACTTATGGCTGCATGCATACAACACAATTACTTTACCCCTTTCGAAAAGGTGCCAATCCCCTCATAATCCATCTTTTTCAAAAATCGCCGTTTCAAGGTGTTTGTGCAGAAAACGCGTCTGCACACCACGAGCTCTGGCACGAGCCCTTCGATTGAGAGCCAGTCATAGGTTGCTCGCGAATCCATAAAACGCGAACTTGTGCTTTCACACCAAAACATCCCCACCTCTGACCGTTTCGATCTGGATGAGCATGGTACTGGCGTGCGGTCGTGTATCACTACTGCGTGGTGCACGTTAAAAACCCCAGGCTAGCGGTTGCACTGCACTGGCTAAAGTGCACATCTACAGCTGAGAGACAAGTCGCTCGTTGAAGGCAGACTAGCTTCAAGGCTGTATAAACTTACCCACGGGATGAGGGCGATTCGTCACATGCGCACTCGTCACAGAACGTTTATCACAGGACGATTCGTCACATAGGAATATTCGTCACAGGATGACTCGTCATGCGGGCAACTGGTCACATCGATCAGGCAGGGGACGATAGTAAATCGCAAATTTCAGCAGCTGTCCACATTCCCTGATGAAGAGTTTCACGATCTCCCACTGTCACATAAACCAATGGTTAGGAAAACTAATCTTACAATATTCCTCCGCTTTTCCTTTCATTATATTACGAGTCTTCAGCAGGTTGATCTCAGTTGCTGGCTTGAACGAGCAATAATCCGACTGGCAGCCAAATCAGTTTTCACTTTTGCCTTGCATACCTATTCGACAAAATCAATAAGTATCGAAACTCTTTCTGCTGAATGTATACGAGTACCCCTCCTGCAGCATCATGGCTCGACCTCTCTCTGTTGCGATCAACTCCATAATTTTGAATGTAGTCCGAGTTCAAAAAAAGACGCTCTTGTATGGCCTCCGCATTCACCATTCGGGACGGACTTAGAAGCTAAAACGTCTGTTACAAATTCTTTGACCTTGAGAAGCGGAAGACATGCTAAGATAAGAGGTGACTCACTTTGTGAGGCCGAACCCACATTCAATGTTCGGGAACAAACCAGAAGCTAAAGCGCTTGTTACAAATTCTTCGCTTTCGGGAAGCCAAGCACATACTAAGATATGAGGTGAGCCACTTTGTCCGCCCGAAGCAATTGAACAATACAACTTTGGGGGGGGGGGGGGGGGACGAACTATTGTGGGACCGGGTGGCCGCGTGACGAGTCCTCCTATGACGAATGTTCCTGTGTGACGAATCGCCCTGTTACCAATCGTCCTGTGACGAGTGTGCATGTGACGAATGGACCGTATCCCCTAACCCACAACCATATTTTTTTCTCATACCAAAACTTTTGAAACCATGATAAAAATAAAATAAATATTTTATTTTGATTCTTTACAGATTTGTTAAGAAAAAGCCACGAAAGCTACACTTAGGTGGCTTGTGCGACTGAGTTATGCGGCCACGGGGACATAACGTGAGCGGCTAATCAGTCGGCTAATTGATTAAAAAAATAATAGCAGTGGCAAAACGCGGATAATTAGATTATCATCGCGTTCCGATGATAATCTAAGTAAAACCAAAGTTCTCGTAAAACTTTCAATAGAGTGCACGACACCCAGCGGCGTGTCAGTGTGGGCACGAGATAACCTGGGGCATGTCGATATTCTTTCTAGGCGTAGCTTATTTATTCCGGCGACGTAACTTCGCCCAACACACGCCTGCCTATATGCCCCCCCCCCCCCCCCCCCCCCCCCCCCCCCCATTGGACGGTCTTCGAACAACACGAAACTAATTCCACGAATCTTGAAAGATTGAATGGGTTTGTAAGTTATCGGCATCTCGTAATAGGTAGCTTCGTTCGCGACTTTGGCCTACCCGATGTAGCCAAGTGTCCAAAAATGCCAGGGCTTTTTTCGTCACAAGAAATTCTTCGCAGACTCCGACTGCCAAGGATTCGAGTTCCTTGCCTTGGCAGTAGCTCGGGGTATTTTTTGGGGGCTGTGATTTAATGAACTCCTACAACACGCGAGTGTCGAACACGAGCTTTTGAAGTCGGGCCCAAAAGAATGCGCACTCGAAGACGTGGAATCAAAATACCAACTTGCATTTTACATTTTGTAATAAGCGCGTTTCGGTTACTGTAGGGATGTGCAGGTTGCGGTAGAGATTTTTATATCAATATTGAAGCAACAATTTTTCAAATGCGCTACTCGCATAAGCTCGGGGGGTCAATACCTCAGAATCTTTTACTCCGATAAATCTATTATCAACTTTACTCCGGGTATTGCAACATGTACCTTTAGCTTTAGGGAATGATATCCTTAGAAGAACGTGATGGAAAGCATGACTAAGTAATGCAAACAAAACAAAAACAGTAGCGAGTGAACAGAAAACAGTGCATAAAAAGTGTTGGTGAAAAGTAAAAAGGCGCGTACTATACTGACCTGGTGGCCTAATGTGCATTTGCGGACTGCCGTCCATCATGTATCCCATTCCACCGTCAGGTCCATACGCCGCACTTGCGCCTCCTATCGTCCCACCTGGAGAAAAAGGCAATAATAACATCAGCAACCCCATCCCAAGAACAACAACCAATAAAAGCGCCCAAACGCGGTCACTCAAACATTCCGTACACTTTTGAAACGCAGATCACCCCAGGCAAAAATAAAAAAAAAGCCGAGTCACTGGGCTGTGGACAGATACGCGGCATCAGATCGTCTGCAGAAAAAAAAAACAAAAAAAAAAAAAAACACTACAGCGCATGCTGACAGCATTTGCCGCAGCCAAGTAAATACAGACGGCAGCACGCAGAAGGTGATAATCGGAATAGTCTATAGACCATTCCAATTTGTCCGTTCCCCTTTCTATGTATCTTCCTCATGTTTAATTACCGTTACCAAAACGCTCGTTTTGCGCTTAGTCTATAGATCTTGTTCGATTACTCTCGTCCCCAGCCACCTAATAGACGCATCCGATATGGGCGACGAAACGATAATAAAACATTTCAACCTGTATATCTACAGAGAGAGAGAGAGAGAGAGAGGGGGGGGGGGCAAAAACGGGAATGTGTGACGGTTGCGCTTATACGATAACTGTCTTCTATTGGCGTGGTAACGGCAAAACAATGCTGTCGCACATACTGCAACTGACAAAATTCAAGATGGCGGCGCCCTTGTGAAAAAGGTCTATACGCCTTTTTACAAGGACGCCATGTTGAATGTCGCCACATCCTGTATGGCCGAAAACAATGTTTTGCCGTCTCCACGCCAGTAGAAGACATCCAGGATATACGCGTAACCGTCGACGATCCTCGTTTTTCCTCACTTTATTTTTTACTATTTGTAGGTTAAAATGCTTTATTATTTTTTTCATCGCCCATACCGGATATGTCTCCCAGGTGGCTGGAGACGAGAACAAACGAGGAAGGTGTAGATAGGTCAGATGAAAAACGCATACGGAACCACTACTTTGGTGCTAAGAAAGCCACGTTATTCGATTAACTCAGTTGGAGAACTGCCAATCGACACTGCTTCCACGAGCAGTAACCCTCCTCTCCCACCACGTTCCGCCTTCCGCCGTTCGATGCACCACCGCTTTGGGTACAACAGCCGGGGCGTTTACAGACCAGTTGCAAAGATCCCTAAAGTCCGCGTTCCGAGCGCGCAATGAATCGTGGGGACTTCCTGTATGCTTCCATATCATCTACCACATGACGCTGAAAAGAAAGAGAGATAGGAAGGCAGTTGTGCGCCTGTCCGTGCTCGCTTGCCTGCGTTGCCTCTGCCGCCCTGAAGGTAGCACCCGTCGCCTGCTACAGACGGTTCCCAGGGTTCCTTTCGGCGCCGCGGACAGCGTTGCTCGTTTTACAACAGGTCTGTTTGCCGCTAGTTGTTGCCCTCGTGAGTCGTTAGGAACAATTCCTTTATTAAGGAATTAGACTTCATTATGGAACCGGAAATCTATCTGGATTCTATCCGGATTCTATCTGGAATTTAGGTATTCAGAAATTATTCCTTTGTCTGCAATCTGGATTGGGGGTTTCCAGAAACAAATTTCCGGTTCCATAATCGGGATAGCGAAAAGTTAAACCGGATTTTTCGGTAGGGTGTCCTCTAGAGTAACGGTCTAGTTCTAGCTATGGTGAAAATTAACGACACAATTACTTTCGAATTTGCGCGAAAATTTGTTGGTAGAAAAAATAAAACGTGGCTGGTAGATTAGAGGTATAACAAGAATTACCGCAATTGAATAATACTGTTGTTCAAATTTAATTTAACCTGTATGCGTAAAAAATAAAATTCTTTTTAGGCGCACGTTTAAGAACCAGTGGGGGATATCGGGCAACAATCCAGGATTCAACGTGGGCTGTGTGGCAATCATATCGTTGATTCTGAGAGAAGAGTAGAGTTATCTTTAGCCTTGAGTAGCTTTCTAGTTAGACTTTAGTTGAATTTATCGAAGATGATCAGGGTTACACCGTACAAATTCCTGAATGAGCGGGGTTTTATTTACCAAGAGGTGAGTCTTCGGGTACATAATGTAAATTCCTTTGTAGCGAAGTATTTTTACTGGAATAGGGTACTGTATAAATATTTTTACGATGTACCAATACCTCAAAGGAGCGAACCTACATTACAATCTTAGCAGTTTTATTTTTTCGCTATTCATTTCTGAACTATACACGAAACTATCGCTATAAAACACGACCGTTTTTCTTTTCATCATTGGATACATTAGTGCGTATATACATTCTGAGCACCTTAAATGCTTGGCACAATCCTCGCTTTCACAATGGCGCCAAAATCCTATATTTCTAGTAAAATAAAATAAAAAATAGTTAAAAAAGATTTAAACACTGTGAAATAAAATTAAAGTACAATAAAACGATTCTTCCAGATAAGAAAAGAATTCGGTCATATGTGATGAAAAAATAGCGCATAAAAAGACGAGGACAGGGACAGGAACGGAACACGGAAGACAGACAGACATCATGTTCAACCAGTTTCAACTCGCCCAGCTTTCCACTTTACTTCAGATAGGATGATCCATAATAACACAAAGTTGGCTTCCCTTCGCGTGACGCTTGATATGTCACGCTAATCCTCAGTGACCTGGTATTTCTTTGCGCAAATAAATCTTTCAACGTAATGCAGTAATGTGTTGCTTTCTTTATTTCGAGACTGATTTCCGCATGGGTATAGAGCGTAGTAAGGGACGTTCTTAACCCCTAACGATCAAACTCATTTCCCTCACGGAGACTGAAAGAACACTAATCAATCAAAAGATAATGAACTCCACCGCCAACGCAAGACGCGCCTTCTTTTGCTATACGCCGACACATACATCCGCGTCCGAAAGGCCACTTGCCATGGTTGTCTTCATATCTGTCCAATAAAACATAACATTAAAAAAAAGACAGCCTCTGGGCTTCTGGGTACCTTCTTTCAGCGGAACTTAATCGTCCATAACAAAAGAGGGACCGGCAGGCACGCGAATTGCTCGTAGCGGAACGCCGTAGTAACTTTTCCATACAACTAAAAACATTAATGGTCCTCTCCGTGACACGGAAGGAAGTGACGATGAAAAAGAAAACATCCAGCAAAAATACTACTGCACGCACAAACACAGACAAAAGATGACAACGCCGGACGTACGGCATTTCTATTAATTTTTTTCTCCCAAAACTAAACATCCGATTCTAGAAGGAAAAAGAAAAGAAAAGAAAAAAAGAGGACAGATCACCTGCACTTGATCATCGACACACAGTGAGGTCAGTCGAGAGATATTTAGAATAATCAAAGCCCAGGCGGCAGGTTTTTGATGCAGCCATTGCCGCTAGATCGAGCGAATATACTGATTGGAAACGATTGCCGCGTCAGAGTTCGGCAGGGCGTCGTATCCAATCAACGCGTCGAACGACACTCGGCATCGGTCTCGGTTCCAATTGCCAAGTCGGCGCCACACGACCGTGACGACGCTCCGTGATGGAAGAGGAGGATACGTTTGCCGGCCTTGATTATTCTAGGTGGTGTTGGGTCAGTCCAGGCGATGATAATGCATCACCCGCTCTACATAGACACAAAATTCACAACCAACATTGATCTTGATTAGCGCCCGATACCCGTTTCCGTGTAGCTCTTCTTTGTTTTGTTTTTTTGTTGTTGTTATTTCTCCACGAAGTACGCAAATTGTAATTGAAGCAAATGGGGCAATGGCTGCGTCAGACTTACCTGCTCGATTAGACTGATCGATCATTGGTTGCACGATTCTTCGCCTCGCGTTAATGAACCTACAAAGAAAGAAAACAACGAATAGGCGTTAGATTGTTGCGGAAAGGAACACATTGATAGCACTGCGGCGACTGCAGAAAGAATCGGACAGCTAATAATGAATGACGTGCAGAATAACTGATCGTCGTCTGTATGCAGTTACTCAGCTCGTTCAATTACATATTGCTCTTCGTGAGCTCGATACACTTCTATAACCGTCCACGTCGCTAGTGTAATGACTTAGTGCAACTGGTACGAGTCTTTATTATTTTTATTTATCTGCAGGAATCTCTGCAGCGCCGATGCATTACAGCATCGGAGTGGGTTTACGGTCACGCTATTACATAATAAAACACAATTATGCACATAAAGAAAGAGCAAACAAAGCGTCACCATCGTAAACAGAACACATCATGAGCCCACTGCTTGATAAGGACGATATGTTTACAATGAATTTATACATATTAAAAAATGAATCATAATCTGCTGACACTTTATCTGCCGGCAGAGCGTTACACTTCGACGTTTTTTTGTTTTTTTTCTGAAAAGACAACAACAACAAAAACTCAATATAGCTTGTCCAAGATATTATTTTATGTATTTTTCGCTGTAGCCATACAAATTTACCCAACAGTGTGACCATATCTTAGTTTTGGAATGAATCGCAATCACTTAGATCGTTGTCGGTTGCAGAGCCCAAAAATGTTTGGACATCTTCTGGTGTGCGACATCATCACAAACAGCGTTTACGCCTCAAAGAAGAGGGATCAAGCGAGTGGCTTGCACTTGTATTTATTAAAACAATGAACACAGCTTGCGTTAGGCATTACCGAGGACTAGGGAACATTCCGGTTAAGGTGTTTGCAGATGTTTAAACATAAAGTTTTGGTGGGACTCTGAAGAAGAACACACACACACAAACACACGCACGCGCACGCACGCACGCACACGCACGCGCACACACACACGCACACGCACGCACGCACACGCACACACAAAAATAGCAGGTTCATTTCCAATTTTATACAGGGAGTTTCGTCATGGACCGAGAATAATTTTAAAAGAAGTCGCTTGAAATAAAGAAGGTATTCCTTTGGGCCAACGTTATCTACCGCTGCGTATGTCTACTAATGGGTGTGAAGTGATAATTGGCAATACACCATAATACATTATTAAAATATGTTTCCCAGGACAGCAGCCGTGAAAATTCTGGTCTCATCGATGGCACTTTCCTAACCCTGTCTGATGATTTTGAACCCGCGTTCCTTGTTAATTTCCAAAAAAAAAAAAAATAGAAGAAGTATAATTAGTGAGGTATCTCAAGAACTCTCTACAACTGCAGGCGCACTTTCGAGGTCGGTATAATCAACTTTTCGCCTCTTCAACGCTTGCTCAAGTAACACAAAATCCCACTGCGGCGTTCCACAGGCGAACAAACGAGCGTGGCTTCCTAAACTAACTGCCGCCGCGTAGGCCCCCTAAGCTAAGAGAGCCCCCAACGACCCGTCATTTTCTCCAGGCTCACGTCTTTCGGGCCAACCTCCTCGGCCAGAAATAGGCCCATCGCCATCGACACCGGAACCTGGAATGAATACTTGATGGCACCCCGGTAACTGCTAACGATCTTCTAGGGACTTGTGTTTCCCTCCCTACCTCCATCCCTCCTCCCTAAACGTTGCACGGGCTTCTCTGTGATCACGTGGTTACGTTTTTCTCTCGGATATGTTTTGTTCCGTCGCCTGGTAGAGCGAAACGAGGTACGCTTTTCTGGTCCCGAGTGCTGCCAGGGGGGGAGACATCCCCAAATGACTTTTTGAGCGTTCCGACGTGGATAGATGGCGACACTGTTTCTCCCTCTTCTCTCCTTTCCCCTCCAGCAGCGACCGCTTTTCAAAAGGACGCGGAGACATGTCCCAACGTGGGTCCTGGTGATGAATGGATGGATGGTGAGCATAGTATATCCCTCTGGCGGAGGCAAAATGAGTTCATGTTGGACGGTTTGATTTTGTGCATGCTTGCTTTTTTGTTCGTCTGTGTGTGCGTGTGCTAGCGACAGGGAATGTCCGTCCCCGGAGGCTATTGTAGTTCTGACGGTCTTCTGCGGGTCGTCTGCCATCGGTTTAGTGTGGTCGTCGTTGGGCGATCACAGCGTTATATGGCACTAGAGACGTCATTCCAGAGGAGCAGAAAGACTTTGATACATGGAGTGTGGAAATTCGCGAGTGCAGCCCAATTATACGAAAAATGTTACTGGTCTACTTACATAAAATCCTGCACACCGCGTTTCAGCATTCACGTATGGTTATGAATTGAAATGTGTTGAATACGGTGTCTAACTTTCTAGTTTGTCAGGAAAGTGAACGAAGGCGAATGATTTTATCAGTGAAGTACTTCATGATCAATAACTTTATCAATCAGTCCGTCCTGGTTGGGACGAATGAAGAGATACATGCGGCTGATTTCTTTCAATCGGGCGGCGTTTTGCGCCATCTAGCCAGTGTGTCTCATTTCAACAGTTCAGCTCTGGTAAACCGGCTACTTCATGGTAGCTATCGGCAGACATAACAAAGCGATATGCAAGCCAGATTCTCTAGAACTTCTAGACAAACGGGACTGACAAACAGATAAGAGTAGACTATAGAATATCCTCGACTTCAGCACAGTAGCTAATTGCAGCATTGACAGCCTACTGTTCGATTCTCATTTGTAATCAACTATAAAATACTAATTATCAGAATAACAAAATGAGGCGTCCAAAAATATCAATGAAACTAAAGGAAACGACGGAGTTCATATGATAGACTACGCTTCCATGAAATATTTGAATCCAGTTTAGCTGCTGCTTCCTTATTGTTTTTCCCCCTGGTGATATCGCAAGTATTATAATTTGCAGCACGGAGAAAAATGAAGCGTCGCCGCTGAGACAGTTGCTTGAAAAGGTACAATAGGAAACCAAAATACAAACAGCTAAGGAAAACAGAAAAGAATCGCAACATCGCTCTCTGAGCGGGCAGCCCTTGCAAGTGACATTTCAATCTCCGAAATTAATAACGTCGCACGCCACAAATCTTTACTGTTTGTTTATTTTAAACAACGGATCATAAAAGAAAGAAAGATTAGACGCGTAAAGCAACACAAAAAATAAAACGAGAACTGTCTACAACAAAATCGGCGTCGGTGACAGCGAAGGAAATTAGACTCACCGGCGTAATATATAATCGCACATAAATCATATCCCAACCCCGCGAAGTATCGCGCCTCTTTATTTTTCTTTTGGATTTTTGTCTCGCCACCTAGAACTAATTTCGTGCGTGTGTTCATTGTAGAACGTTAATGTGCATGCACATTAAAGTTCTGCATGCACATGCACGTCAAATACGTGCATGTGCATGCACGTATTTGACGTAACCATCAGTGTTTAAATAGAACACTATTTCGGCCAAAAAAGTTTCTGTGTGAGCTGTGGAATTAATGTAAACGAAAATAGAAATGCCTTAGGTCAGCGTACCGAGGGGGCTAATCTGAAATTCAGCATGGTATCATGTTGCAGCAGGCTAGTTTTCTTAGAAGCAAAAGTTCGCCGGCGAGCCGATTACGAAGCATCGTAGTCTAAACTCTGAAACTAGAAAGAAAAAAAAAAACAACAAAAAAACAAATAACGGACGCTATTCTATCTCTTAGTCTCAGGGTTTACATTACGATTTCAACTTTTATAAAGAGAGCAAAAGTGCACTTGGAATGTGTTTAACGTCGCTGTCGTGACACCACAGAGACGTCAACGTTGCCCCAGCTAATTAGCTGTGCTATCGTCGCTTACCATCGCCCGTAGTTTCGGATTGCAGTAAATCCCCCGAAACACAAGCTTGAGATAGGATATGTACAGGTCTGCAAAATTCATCAAAAAGCAAAAACCAAAAATACAAAAAAACGGGGGTTTTATAATTGACTTGTTTCAAACGCCTTCGCCATCATCTGTCCGCCATCGCTTGATCACGTGATCTGACCGTGTGTTGGACACGAGGAACGCGTCACCACTCGGCGTCAACTCGGATCCAATCACGTGCAAGCAATGGCCATCAGCCAATGTTGCTTGACAGAATTTTTGAAAAGGGTCTATTCGGGACGTTAATGTGGTGGAAACAGTGCACAGTAACGCCGAACACTACGAAGTGGAATTTAGCCGTCCCTCGGCGAGTAAAGGCCGATTCACACATTTGAGTTGAAGTGTTACCAACTGCGTCACGTCCGCTTGCGACTGCGTTACGGCAGGATGGTTGCTGTGCCAACCAAGCTCCGCGCAACCCGTCGTTGTGGAGGAGTGCAAAGAGCCATAAAGGCTCGATCCAATATGTGCGTTTGATTGAGAAAGCGCAAGTTGCTACGAGAGAACCCACTAGCGACATCTATAGGGTAGTTCTGAAACGCTTCTGCGGGTCATTCTTACTAGAAGGGACACATTTCGCGTGATAGCACGTGAAATTAATTTTTCAGATACTGCAAAACCTGCAGTTTAGTTACACGCAGATCGGAATAGTTCCAGGGTTGCCCGACGAATGGAGCCAGTGTGTCAATGTATCCTCTCGTCGTACCCGGTTTCAAGCGGCTGGAACGCAGTCGATCGTACTGAAACGCAAATTTGTGAATCAGTCCTTAAGCGATTGTTTATCCGTATTAGCTGCATGGATGCGCGATCACAGAGGGGGAAATGACTGCTGGTTTCACTCCCAAAGTCGAAGGATCTACTCCGTGTACGTTGCCGTGTGGGCGACTTCCGATGCCCGAAACGGCGTTCGGAATGACGCGTGTGGATGCTACCGTTTGTATATTTCGCGTTTTTTGTTTCTTTCGCGCCGACAGGGAGGCGATGGAGGTGGGGTGGAGGAGGGGAGTAAATTTTGGCGGGCTGACAAATGGCGTATCTGGTGTCACCCTCCCGCACGATCCTGGTGGCCGCTTTCGTCCCTGCCTTTTGATAGAAACGAAATGAAATCGGAAAGCGGAGAAGAACGAAGAGAATGCG